AGGCCCCTCCCACCCAGTCACATGGCCGGCAAGCCACTCCCACCCAGTCAGATGACTGGCAAGCCACTCTCACAAAGCAGGCCACACCTACAGAAGAGGTTCTAAAAATTTTTGAAACCCACCACTGCTAACAGGCCTCCCTGAAGCCTCCTGGGACCAAAAATGGAGTGTGGAGGGAGGCACACAGCCCTGCACTCCCCCCACCCCCCATGCATGTGCGTGCAACACCCCCCCCCCGTGCATGTGCAGCAGAGACCTGAAAATCAGCTGGCCAGGGGCAGGCATACACGCTTGCAAGGTGGAGCTGAGCTGGGTGATGGCTCGTGTGCCCATAGGTTCACCATCATGGACCTAGAGAAAATATTGTTATAGTAAAACCAAAACAAGTGTAACAAAGTGCTCATTATAAATTATTATTTCATCCCCAATGACTAGAAGAGAAATTTAGGGATCCTCCTCTGAGCAAATCATTTACTAAAAAAGTAGTCTTTTCAACAAATAAATCAATGAAAATTAAAATTGCATTTAATTCTATCAAGAATGAACAAAAGAATTTCCAGTTCTTGTTTCTAAATTGGCAGGATTCTTACCAAGAGTACCTAGGCAGCTTTGTGTAGTTTTCATCAGCATTCCCCGTCAAGCAAAAAAGATGAATGATTTCTTTTTAAAACCATACCAAAAATTAAAATACAAACCTCAGCTTGCCTATTTAAAAAATCCAGAATTCCCTTTCCTTTGCATAGGTGACAACGCTCGATTTTGAATGTCTTGTGTTTTGAGACGCAATGCAACACAATCGGTGACTTTAATCCCTTGTGCCTATTTGCAACCCAATAACACTTCCCCTTACAACTTCATTGCACCATTTCAGTTGTTTGATTGTTCTCCCTTTCTCTCCGTTGTTTTTAAGATACACCTGCAGAAGAAGAGCCTGCTCCCTGTGCTCCAGTATCTCAACATGGACGGCAGTGTCAGAATGGCACTGACTGTAGGGCCATATGGGAGGGACCCAAACATGGCATTACCAACTTTGACAACTTTGCCTTTGCCATGTTAACTGTGTTTCAGTGCATCACCATGGAGGGCTGGACAGATGTACTCTACTGGGTATGTATGAACTTAGTTTAAGGCAAGAAGATGCACCCTTCTTTTGCCATGCCCAGGACGTGAGACGGACATTGTCGTGCCATTGTGCTGCTTGCTGTATTGTTGTCATGCAACTCACTTCCTAAACTGTTAAGTCAAACTAATGCAGTGCACTAAAGAGGTAGAATGATAGCCTCTTGCTATTAGATACACTCCTTTTGACGTTAATTTTCTACTAACATGTTATTTGTTTTGTGCATTTTTTTGCTGCATTCTTCCTGGAATTCTTACAAGATAAAGATAAAGGATGAAATTCAGTAATCAAATATATACCCAGCTTGAGCTTAATTTATTTTAGCGTAAACAAAATTAGGTAAAGCACAGAAAAGAATAAGAAATAGCGAGCCAAAGAAATTAAATTGTGAGATTTAAAAAGAGAGAAAGAGAGAGAAATATAGTGAAGTCTACTTTCACTGTCATTTATTTTCTCACATATTTTTTCTGTGTCTGCAATCTTGCTTCCACAATGTCCATGTAGTAATGCTTTCATTTTTAAACTTCTCAACGCTCTGTTCTTGAGGCTTTATCCATCCAATCACAACTATCTCATTCAGGCTCTAAAATGCTATTTTGAATGAAATAGTTATCCATCAAGCCTAGAATTGAGAGCAAAAATAACTTTAAAGTGAATGAGTTTCCTCAACAACATTCCCCAGTGGGAATATGGAGTGGTTTTTCAAGGTAGGCAAGAAGGCAGGTACAATGTTATGATAAAAATAAACCCCATTCACATCTTGCTTGTTTTCTCTCTCTCTCTCTCTCTCTCTCTCTCTCTCTCTCTCTCTCTCTCACACACACACACACACACACACACAAATATGCAGGCATCACTCTTATTGATACCTTTTCAATGCTATGGCATAGGTTTCATTTAGACATGGCATTTATAATTAGTAAAAAAAAACAGACTTTCAAATAATAAATGGATATATGGATTTATATCAGTAGGTGTGAGCTTGCATGGATTCCAGAGGATGGTAGAGGACAGGAAGGCCTGGAGGAACATTGTCCATGGGTCACAATGAGTCGAACACAACTTCACAACAACAATAATGGATATATATGGCATTTCTAGCTACCTAGATATGACATACGTGAGAATGATTTCAGGCCTCATTCCTTCTGTCCCAATGTTTTTCAGCCTTGACAACTAAGAAGTGTGGATGTCAACTCCCATATTTACTCAGCCAGCGTGGGGGATTCTGTGAGTTGAAGTCCGCTCATCTTAAAGTTGACAAGGTTGAAAACACTGTTCTACTCTGACCCTGATAGGTTGCCAGCGTTTTGGAGCAGGGTAGGCAATTAATTTTTCCAAGGGGTCACATCAGAAACTGGAAGCATTATGGAGAACAAAACCAACAGGTCTGTGAAGGTACTGCATGAATGTATATATTTAATGGGGGGGGGGGGAGAAATAGTAATCTTCAGGTTGAAAACAATGCATTGAGGCAAGACAGGGACAGCCAAATGGATGTGGTCTGAGAGCTGTAAAATGCTCAGGTCTGCTTTAAAGTTTATGCAAAGGTTTTGCCCCAGTATCCTTGTAACATTGCAAAAGATCTTGGAATATACAGCGGAGATTGTGCTTTGTCTAAAAGGAACACTGCTTAAGCAGCTGCCTTGGTTGCCTGTACAATTTGGCTCAGCCTGTTGCTGAGTAGATAACAGCTTTAAAAAGATAGGAAACAAGCTTGAAGATCCAATAGAGCAGGTATAGGCATGCTGACCTGTAAAATCCCCTCCCATCCTCCAACGTCTTTGAAATTGCATTCTTCAGTTTCACTGGGAAAGCTTGAAACCGAAGCCCACAGTTGCCCTGGAAACCCCTGTCAGGAAATCAAATTGGGGAAAGAAAATAGGCAATAGATATAATTTACTTTCCCTGACAGCCTTGACATGTTCTGTGAGCTTCTCTCATCCCTCTGCAGCCTGCTGAAGCCTACTGAGCAAGATGCAGCGAGGAATGCAGCGATATTGACACACCGTCCCCCCCACTTTAAAAAAAAAAAAGTTATACGCAGAAACATCACCCCCACAATTTCTGCCAGCTGTGTTTATGCTTTCTCACTCTTTCTCCTTAAAGAGTACACAGGCTTGAATTAGCATCGTCTTCACGCGCTTTGCACAGCACAGCTTGCTGCATGCTTCCTCTCCGTGTATTTAGTAAGGGAGAACCGGTGTTTTGTTTGAGATTGGCTTGTTTAAAAGAGGAGAAGAAAAAAAGAAGCCACAGCAAATCTTGCATGGTGGTAAAATATGTGTCAAGGAAAGATAAAATGCATAGAGTCAGTTCTGATGAATTCCACCCATCTCTGTTAGAAAGAAATGAACCTCTTTGGGAGCCCATCTTTTATGATAGTAATGAGTCACGAGGCTAAGACAATTGTTGCCAATTCTGGGAGGGCAGAATTGTTCATCTGCAAATATCATTTTGTTTTATTTTGTTCAGATTTTCAAATGCCTACTGGGACTACTAACCTTTTAAAAAATATAGTCAAAATTAGAGGTTCTCCCCCAAAACATATAGTATATTGTATTTTCTTCAAAGGGAATTAAATGTAATGGATTACTTATTGGTGAATATTGAACAAATGTATGATAGAAGTTAATTGGAAAACAAGGTGCTTTTTACAGCCTAACTGTTAATACTCTACTTGTATCATAAAGGATATATTTCAGAAAATATATATTTATCCTTCCTCTACACACCAGAATCATAAACCATGGTTTGATGCTCCTATGGGGAAATAAAAGGAAATTGGTTTTCCCCAAATGAGGACAACGGTTGCAGTGGAGGAGCCTGGCATTTCATGCTTATTCCAGGCGTGTTCACTTAATCTAAACCACGGTTTCATTACAGTTATAACAAAAAAAAGAGAGTTCTGTGACTTGACTCAACAACAACAAACAGAAATTCCTATCCAGTGTCCTGCGGTGGGAAGGATGTCTTCAATATTTTTCTTTCTCTTTACTATATGCTGTATTATTTTACTCCTTTCCAATTCTTTTCCCAACTGATCCTTTCACTCTTCCTTGAAAATAATTGGGTGCCAATATGGAAGACGGCCAGTGGTGAAATTCATATTTTTTACCTCCAGTTCTGTGGGTGTGGATTGGTGGGCGTGGCAGGGGAAGGATACTGCAAAATCCCCATTCCCTCCTCACTCCTGGGGGAAGGATACTACAAAATCCCCATTCCCTCCCCACTCCAGGGGAAGGATACTGCAAAATCCCCATTTCCACCCCACTCCAGGGGAAGGATACTGCAAAATCTCTATTCCCTCCCCACTCCAGGGGAAAGATACTGCAAAATCCCCATTCCCTCCTCACTCCAGGGGAAGGATACTGCAAAATCTCCATTCCCTCCTCACTCCA